CCTTCGCCGGCAGCGCCGGCCGCCTCTTCTCCTCCTGCCAAGCCGGGGCTTCCCCCAAAGTGACCTACACCCCCTACCCGGAGGACTACGGGGACATCGAGATCGGTTCTCACCGCAGCTCCGGCAGCAGCAGCACCAATCTGGGCCCGCCGGCAGTGGGGGGAGGAGGGGGAGATGATGACGGCTACATGCCCATGACCCCCGGTGTGGCCGCCGCTTTAGGGCAGGGAAGCCGGGGCAGCGATGATTACATGCCCATGAGCCCCACCAGCGTGTCTGCCCCCAAGCAGATCCTGCAGCCCCGGGCAGGGGTGGGTAGCGGGTCCCCGGGGAACGGGAGCAGCTGCAAGACCAGCTCGCCTGGGGAGAGCTCCCCTGACGATAGCGGGTACATGCGGATGTGGTACGGCTCCAAGTTGTCCATGGAGAGCTCAGACGGAAGGCTGAGTAACGGCGACTATATCAATATGTCCCCTCGGGACCCCCAGAATGGGCCCCAAGCTCCCTCCCTCACCCCCCCGGACTTCTTTTTTGCCCCTTCAGGGCATGGGTCCAGTGAGCCCCCAAAGCCCAGCTGCTATTCATACAGCTCCTTACCCCGCTCCTACAAGAGCCAGGGCTTGGCAAAGGACAGCGACCAGTACGTGTTCATGAACTCCCCGGGGAGGATGATCCCGGAGGAGGCGGTGTGTGGAGCAGGCACCTTCGCCCCCTCCAGCCACACGGTGCCTTCGCCCCTGCGGCACAGCCGGACCGAGAGCTTCCTTAGCCAGCGGTGCCAGCGGGCGGCCCGGCCCAGCCGCCTCTCCTTGGAGACCTTGCGGACCGTGCTGCCCAGCATGAACGAGCACCCTCTGCCGCCGGAGCCCAAGAGCCCCGGTGAATACATCAACATTGACTTCGGGGATGCTGCCGTCTATTCTCCCCCTTCGCTGCCTGCTGACAGCCCAGCCTCCTCCCTGGGCTCAGGCACGGGGCAGAGGCGCTCCCCTCTCTCTGACTACATGAACATTGACTTCGGGTCACAGTCACCCTCCCAGTCGGGCACGGTCTCTGTGGGCTCCTTGGAAGCTCTCTCTCCGGGTTCTTCCTCCAGCACCAGCCAGCCCAGTGGGCGCTACCTGAAGGCGGCTGTGGGGATGGCTTGTTCGTCCAGCCCATCGGATGGTGGTGACTACACCGAGATGACCTTTGGCATGGCCACTACCCCACCTCAACCCATTGTTCAGAAACCAGAAAGTGCCCGGGTCACCAGCCCCACGTCTGGTGTGAAGAGGCTCACTCTCTCTGGGGTGGAGGCTTTCATTCTCTCCAGCCCTCCCCCAGACCCGAATCGGGGGGCCAAAGTAATCCGGGCAGACCCCCAGGGGCGGAGGAGGCACAGCTCAGAAACTTTCTCCTCCACCACCACTGTGACCCCAGTGTCCCCCTCCTTCGCACACAACCCCAAACGACACAACTCAGCCTCGGTGGAGAACGTGTCCCTCAGGAAAAGCGAAGGCCTGGAGGAGGAGCAGGGTAGCAGTCCCATGTGCCGGGAGACCTCGGCTGGCTTCCAGAATGGCCTCAACTACATCGCCATTGATGTGGTCGATGGGTCCTTGGCAAACTGTGACAAATCCAGATTGAAAGCTAGGCACCTCCTGAATGGGGGCATCAATGGAGTAGAGATGAGCACCTATGCCAGCATAGACTTTCTGTCTCACAACCTGAAAGAAGCCAGTGCTGTGAAAGGTGAGTAGCTACATTTGACAGTGCCTGCTGTGCGTGTTTGTGCTTTGTGTTTACCATCACAAGGTTGAGTGCTGTTGTGTAGAGCACTATCCCTCTTCACATCCTTAGAAATCACTTTTATCCCTTTTTACATGTCCTGCAATAAGCAGTCTTGGAGGAACTTTGTGGCTCTTTCTATGAGGAAAAAGGTTTAATTTTGGAATATTTATTCATGTTTCAGTACTACTGTGCCGTTATTATGTGTTTATACTTCTGGGTACCCCATGAGAAGCTGCTGTTTACACAGTTTCTATGTTTGGGCTGCATTCAGAGTTTTCTTAAGATTTTTGGAAAGTGTTTGGACAATGTGACCTAAATAGTTTATGTTAATGCAACTTCTAAATACTATTTAAAAATGTAAAATGATTGAGTTAAAACCAGCATTGTTTGATAGAGGACATCAGATTACAGAAACAGTCCTTGGCTCTTTAGCTGAGAAGGTCTGGAATATCAAATTGAGAAGGATAAATTTAATATCATGGTTTAGAAATACCTTATCTCTTGCAAAAGTTTGACAGTAAATCATAGTGAGAATGGAATGTGAATTTTAAAAATGGTAATTCTTTCCAGAAGTCACTATATGCTTGAGCTGTTGTATGCTGTATTGCATATTTCATTTAAGGGCCCAACCTTTGTTGTGTGTGTAACAATGTTCCAGTTGAGAGCTCATGGATTGCAAATGTTGGGTGTCAAACTGAAGAAATATGAAACTTAGGGTGAGAGGGAATTTTCATTTTCAGTATGTAGCTATTCCTTTAATTAGGTGCTGGTTATGCTGAGAAAAAAAAAGAAAGAAACAAATACCCTTCCTTCTTCCCTGAAATAGAACTCCACCCTCTCTCATTGAGTTTGTAGGAACTGGGGGCTGGTTGAGGAGGGCACAGAGCAGCCGGTCTGTCGAGGAAGAGAAATTAATAATGAGATACTTGTAAGGATTCTCTTGGCTCTTGGATTTATGCAAGACATGGTGCTCAAACCCTCATGCATAGATAGCTGTAATATTGTTTATGGGTAGAGCTGGGGGAAATGACAGGCCACGCAGTAGCTGCTTGGAGGAGAGCAGGTATTGCTTCTCTGTTCACAGTGCTGATAGAGGCATCCATAACGAGTGAGCAGCAAAAGCTTGTAAGAGCCGCTTGCAGGGCTTTTTTCCTTGTATTTCCTTAGTAGCTAGTAGATTTTGAAGAAGAAAATATTTTCTCTTTTGATAGGAAGTACAGGAAGATGGAAAAGATGAGAGATCCCACCGTTTGCAGAGCAAGCTTGAACCTAATTAGGACGAGACGATTGTTGAATGCAATGTCAGAGTTTGAAAAGATGAAGGCTTATTTTGAATGACTGGAAGGGTTGAGGGCCGAGCCTTTTTTGTCCGTTGCGTTTAGTTTTGCCGGGGTCGCTCTCAGGATCCTTGCGGCTCGCCCGAGCCCGGTGCGGAGGCTGCAGCCCCCGCTCTCTCTCCTTGCCCGGCCTGGGGATGGCGGCCCCGGGCGCCCCCGACCGTCACGGCCCTTTGCTTTGCAAACGGATTTTTCGCAGAAACGAGGAGCTTGTCTCGAGCCACCTACAGCCCCGATTGCCGATGAAGCCCGGTGTTGGGAAAGTGCTGTTTCCACAGCGTTCCCGAGCCGCTGACCCTGAGGGGGAGGGGGCGGCCCCGGTGACCGGGAAAACCCGGCACGGGGGTGCGGGAATGGGAGCGGCGGCGGTCAGATAAGGAGAGGGAAACGAGCGCTGTCCTTCCCAGCCTGTAAACAAAAGGATAATGCAGAGAACGCAGCCGTGTTCATGTGGTTTTACGGCGGAGAGGGCTCAGTGCTGCTGCTGCGTGTGTTTGTCCAAGGACGGTTATAGGCTTGTCTTTATTTTAATATTTAATCTGCATGTGTGTTTGTTTTTCCTCTTTCCCGTAAGCTTCTAAACGCAGATCACATGGAGGAGTGGTGCGGGGAGGCTCGTTGGGATTGACCCTATCTGTAGGAGGTGGGCTGTCTTCTCCAGCACCTCGCTTCCCTGAGAAGGGTGCCAGCCTGTAGGGTGCACTCAGAGGTACGGGATGCAGGGATGGATGGATGGAACCAGAGTCAGGTGCAGGTAGTAAGGAAGACCACCAGCATCCTCAGCCGACAGTGGGGTGGGTACCAAAAACGGGGCATCAGGCTGATTGCACTTGTGGAAGTCGATCTGGGAAGGTCACAGCATGGGGAAGGAGAAATAAATCATAAAGGACTTCATTGGTGTAAGTTTAATCAAATAATAAACTTCTGCAAATTCCTAGTTTCCCTTTTCGTTTTCATTGGGATTTCACACTGAAGTTTGTTTATGCTAGGTCTTCTGCCAGTGCTTAAAAAGGTCACCCAGAAGTTTGCTGATGTATTTGAGTTTCAAACATTGTAATTTGGGAGACTACTGAGAATTTTGTTTTACTGAGAAACATATTCTGTTTAAAGAAAACTGTATTTTGTGCATAGAAAAGATTACTTCAACAAAAGTATTTTGGGTAGAGTTGAGAAAATATAATTCTGTAAAAAATGTTGATTTGCACAAGAGAGCTTATATAATCAGCATTGTTTGTTTAGTTTGCACTTTTTTCAAACTTTGTGCTTAACTACAGTTATACGTAGTTATATTTTCATGTGGAAAAATGCTTTTCAGGAAAATGATTTGTATAATTTTAAGGTGGCTGGCTTCCATGTGTAGTGTATTTCTCTGCTATCAGTAACTTGCCTCTACTGCAGGGAGTGCTTTGCTTTTGGAAGTCTCTGTCCTTATTATTCTGTCATGGCAAGAGCAAGGAGTGCATCCTCAGCTGCTGTCCAAACAGAACAGTTAAAATGTTGCTTGAAATTATCACTTCATTTAGTTCTACTGTGTTCTAAAGATGTGCAAATATTTAGGAGTTGGAGAAACAATTGCCTTCATCTGATATGTAAATAAAATAATACTGTTATTGCTGGGTTAAAACTTGTTACTTGCTAATAACTAGCTTTTGTTCCTAAACTATGATTTTTTTTTGCTTAGAAACATAGACTGTGAATGGATTTCATTATTTATGGAGATGTTTACACTAATTTTTCTCATAAAGTGTGAATTATTTATTCCAGTATATTTATGACAGATTAATCAACAATGATGTGACTTTTTATGGTGGATCTTAGTTCTGAAGTCAAAGTCGAAGTCAGATAGGAGTTTTGTTTCTCTTTCAGTGAGGTTAAGATTTTACCCTTTGTGTGTAATCCTGGAATTCTTAATTAAGATTACCGTTAAATTTAGTGGGTGTATAATAGGGATTTTTCTTTAGTCTAAATCACCAGAGTGGGTTATCTTTAATTTTGTTTTCTTTTCCATTCACAGAGTGCTCTGTAGTTTCAACTTGTAGATGTTTCTAGTAGTTGGCCTAGTTTTCTAAAATTGAACAGATACTGTATGTAATAATGCAAAAAACCTTGAGGGTTCTTTCCCTCCTCTGTCAGTTTTGTGAGGGTTTTATGGTTGTACCTAAATAAAAAGCCTATCTTAAGAAATCTCTTTCTTTGTCTTTCTGATGGTGTTTTAGATTGTGGAAGACATAAACTTTGTTTCCTTTTTCTTTGGGATTACTTTACACAATGAATTGTATTATTAAGTTGTTTTTTTGACCTCCTCTTCATATGCCAACTGCCAAAAAGTTTTGGTTCTCAGAGCAACACGAGAATGCTTGTCTCTTTAACAAAATTATTGCTCATTTTAAAATAACTTCTTGAAAGCATTAAAAGTACTATATGCTTTGTTAGAAATTTATACATCTTTTGAAGTCTTTTTTGAATAAATCCATTGTAGTAGTTTCTCTTACTGCTAAGTTCTGTAAGAACAACAGCAGAAAGGACTGAGCTACTTGTAATAACTTACATAGCTTGAATCTTTAACTCACACTTAAAATTAAAAATTTGAGGTTTTCTTTTAAATGTCTCAAAATTCACTTACTGTCTTTCAGATGACACTTTGCAGGTAACCAAACCAAAATGGTTGGATCTGAACCTAGCAGTGCCACTCATGAAACACAAAATGTAGACTGAAATTATCTAGGATTAAATGAAGGTTTAAATACTTTAAATTATGTTGATTATATGGGTGTCAGCTTGTTACAAACAAATAGAATATCAAGACATCTATTAGACTTTTTTTTTGCTTTATACTTAAAATTATGTTTGGCTATACTGCTCATAGGAAGAATGTCATGGTTACTTTCAGTCATTTAAGATAAATTGTTATAGACCAGATTGAATGGTGGGTTTGTTCTAAAATGAACCAGTACAGTCATGGCTCAAGGCAGAGGAAATGCTTAGGTTGATGATTGCTTCTGATTACTTGATTTCTTTCAAGATAGCTACAGAGACTAATGTTCGTTTATAAGTAAGAAGAATAAAGGAGTGTTTGACCAGAAAGAGTATTAGGGCTTGTTTTATATGGTGGGGTTGGTTTGTTTGTGTTGGGGTTTTTTTTGTTTTTAAAGAGAGTCTAACGTGGGTTTCTTTACACTTGGTTTACTCTTATTTTTAAGTAGTGTTAATTACACTGGAATGCTGAAGTGGTTTATAAGCTGAAACAGAGCAAGCATCCACTGAAAAATTTAGCCAGTTACTGTATGGAGTCTAACTTCCCTCCCTATTCAGCAGTTAAATGGCAGCATAATTACATTCAGTTATTTTCTGTCTATAAGTTTTTCTCTAAAAACACTATTAATATGTTTCTTTTTAAAGTAATAAACATCTAAAAAATGGTTGTTTCTGTGGCTTTTTTCTTCTGAATTTGTTGAAATATAGGATACTTTTTATACTGGTTGTCCATATGTTTTTGTTTTTTGTGTCTGTGTTCATTGTGTTAAGTCCTGATACAGCAAATTTTGTGGAAGATTTAACATTAAGTTGATACACAATGTGTAATAGCAATTTCAAGTGTATATGGTGACTGATTTGTTGAATTAG